GGGCAGTGAAGTGGGCGACGTGCAGCATGGAGTGACCCGAGCTCTCAGTGGGGAGTCCCCAGATGGATGTGCTGCTTTTTCAGGTCAGCAGGCAGCTCAATGTTCCTGGGCGCCCAACTCAGCAGGCAGGCCGGCCCTGTCAGATGTCCCCGGGGACCACGAGCTTCCGAAACAGTTAGTCCCAATGAATAACATGTCCATCACGGCCTCATAAATTTCACCTCCATTATTTAAAGTAAATAAATAAGAAACCTACTCTATGACTTCAACAAGCAAAGTAAAACAAGAAAAGCAATCGCCGTTGCGTGGATTTCAACTCACGGTGACCCAGGGTGTCTGATAGGAGGATGCTCCTACGTAGAACTGCTTAACGCGCTGACCTCCCAGAAGCTGATCCTTGGGGCTCTCTTCCAAGATGCTTTAGGGGAGTTCAAGCCAGTAACCTTTCCATTAGTAGTCAAGCCACCAAGCGTTCGTACCTCTAATCAGTAAGGCTACCCCATCCAAATTCAGGCTGGACAACCAGCCTGGCGACCACACGTTACTCAGTGCCTCACTGGTTGTAGCTCTATGCATCGGCCATATATTTTCTCTAATCCTCTGAACTGCTCGGTACAGTAGGTGTCCCAGTTACCCACTGCTGTGTAACAAAGAAGCCCAGACATAACAGCTAAAAACAGCCAGCGCTTCTCAGGATTCTGTGTGCTGCCTTGGGCCGTTATTTGACTCCGTGTGACTTCTTTCCAGTGCAAACTCTGTCGCAACGTGCCTGGCATAGTCATGTGTTTGGAAAGCGCCTCTTTTAGGGGTCTGAGTTTCAGGACTTAAAAGAAGGCTTCCTGAGACTCACGTAGTCTTCCCTGTCGTTGGATCCCTCAGTTTCTCCTGATGCCTAAAATTCTTCCATTTGTTTTATTTGGGTCTAAAGTATTACAAGTAGGAGTCTTGGTGGCATAGGGATGACGCCTTAGGCTGCCATCTGCATGGCCAGCAGTTCGAAACCCCCAGCAGCTCCGAGGGAGAAAGGCGAGGCTTTCTGCTGCGGTAAGAGTTACGGTCTTGGAAACCCACAGGCGGTTGCTATGAGTCCGCACTGACTGGGTGGTGGAGCCTGTGCAGTTTGGGAAAGTAAGACGTTGTTGAGAGCAGAGCTTCCCAAAGTAGGTGACGCCATCCTCTGGGTGGGGCATGGGAACGACCCAGGGCGGGCTGCCCAAGGGACCCCTGCACCCTCCTGGATGGTGGGCTAGAGTACAATCACCTTTAATTGCCAGGGGGCACTAAGTTTGAGGGGTTGTTTTTTCCTGAAGTAGACTAAAAATAGGTTTAGAAAAATAAGGTTTAGTCTAAAGTTTAGACTCGGCACAGTAACGTTAGTCTAAGCTTTAGACCAAACGGCTCCAGCTAACAGATTCCCAGTCACCTGGGGAGGGGTCCTTCCTGGTCACCCTGCAGTCCTGGTGTCCGTCCGCATGCAAACCGGAGGTGGCTTTCAGAAAGCGAGG